CGGGGCTTTCAAATGAAGGAGGACAAAGGCCCTGGCCTTCAGGCCCTGCATACCGTGTCCCAGGCAAGGAAGGCTCCTCTCCCCAGGGCCAGGTTGGTCATAAGCTTGATGGCCAAGCGGGTGCAGCTCTCCCCAGTCATCACCTTGCGGTAGCCATGGGTTCGGGCTACATGCACGATCAGATGGGTCCTGTGACGGGGTGAATTACAGAAGCTGGAGCTGGAGTCCTGCGAGCCAGGGAGGGCGGGGGTGGGGCGCTCACCTCAGCATCTGCAGCAGCTCCTCTTTGGCTGTCAGAGTCTTTATGGAGGTGAACAACCTAGACAAGGCCTCAGTCTGAGCAGCTGCAGGGGACCCAGCCACGCCTGGGGGTTCCTGGCTGGGGGAGGGGTGTGGCTGATCCTCCCCCTGAGCTGGGCTGGCGCAGCCCTCGACCCCTAGCACGCGATGCTGTTGCAGGAAGCTGTCCACTGCCGCTTTGTAGGCCTCCTCTGTCCCTGCTGGCTCTTGGGAAGCAGAGCACAGCACCGATGGCGGCAAGCTGAACACCTTCCGGGATGGAAAAAGGGACATTGAGTCCAAGGCCCATACCTGCCCTCCAGAACGGCTGGAAACCTAAGGCCCAGGGCAAGAGGCCCACAGGATGGCGGCTCCAGTAAGCAAGCATGTGGCTCTGATGGGTATCCCCTCCAAGGTCCCCACCAGGGGCAGACCCACCTACCTCCTCTAAGGTAACCACATGCCATGGGAAGCCAGTGTTTTGCAGGATCAGCTTCACCTCAGCCAAGGTCTTCCCTCTGTCCTTTAGGCTCTGGCCACAGGCCGCTCCCTCTGTAAAACCCAGGTAGAAAGTATGTAGGAGTCATGGAGGAAGAGCCTGGTGGAACAGGCTGAGGTGGTCAGTGCCACACATGAAGTCCCACCAGGTCTGCTCTTCAGAGAAAGCTTCTGTAAGAGCAGGAATGACATTTTCTTTTGGGTGTTTTCCAACAGGCTCCCCTCACAGCTAAAGAAACTGCCTGGTCTTTCATCCCCAAAGACCAGCTCTAAACTCACCTTCTTCAACCCCTGGGCCCTTCAATACAACTCTGTCCCCACTCTGTCCCCTGAAGGGCCTGTTGGGGTTCGCCCACCACTGGGGGCTGAACAGGGAGTGGCCAGACGTACCGTCAACATAGATGACTCCTGGCACAAAGCGTAGTCGTTTTGCAGAATCCTGACTCAGGCCCTGGAAGAGAAGTGTCAGGGTTCAGACCTGGCCAAAAGCATTTCTCTGGACTTCAGACTCTCCAGACAGTGGACAAAACTGCCTGGGTCTCCCCTCCTCAGAGGGGTGTGTATGGGCCCAAGTCTTTGCTCCCACAGGAGGGATGTGGGTGCAAGTCTTCCCTCCCATATGAGGGCATGTCCTGTCCTATCAGAAACTTCAGAATCCACCCTCTCCAGTCTGTTTCTGACACCTAAGCAGCCTGAGACAACCAGCTGGACCATGGGGCGGTGGGGCCACTTTACAACCTCTGGGCACCTTAGAACCCTCAGAAAGTGCTCTGGTATGTAAGAACAGAGGTGACAACCCATGGAAGGTGGGGCAGAGTCCCAAGAGGAGAGGTATCAGACACTGACAAATGGCTCCATGGTGAGCTACCTCACCTCCACACGTGCAGGTTTAGGGGACTGGCAGGTAGGAAAAAAAAAAAAAAAAAACCCACAAGTACCACACAGGATATTCCACTGGAACGCACTGCCACTGACCAAGTTCAGCTCAGACCACTGACTTCTGTCAACCACAGCCTCCACTCTGGCCCCTCTAGCTGGTGTCCCACAGTAAAAAGAGCATGTAGGTCCCTCTTCTGTGCCGGGCCCTCAAGGAAACCCTGCATACCCCCAGCAGTGTCAGGCATTCTCAGCTTGAGTCCCCAGTCTATCTGCCCCACCCCCTTCTACCCAGGCCACTCCTCCCCGTTTTCAGCAAATACTTCTCTCTGCCCACAAGTCATAACTGGCCAAACTGTGATACTATGTCCTAACAAATGCAGCCAAACAGGGATGTAGCCGGGGACCCTGCACAGGGCTTCTGGACTGCACACCAGCTGAATATACATGTGAGATCCTATGGGTGTCCCAGCCAGGGTGGGGGGTTCTGTCTAGTGTCAACCAAAAACTTTGTAGTGTAGGCTGAGGAAAGAGGCTTAGGCCCAGAGGATGGTGTAGACGTACCTCAAGAACTTGCCAGACCATGGAGCTGGACGAAGGCCCCCCAGACCACGCCAACAGCACCTGGGGTGGGGAGAGAGCATCAGCAAGGACATGCATCTTCAACGTGAGCAAGTCTGCTTCATTTCTTAGACAGCCCCAAAGTCCAGAGACAGCAGGCTGGCTGAAGAAATGTGCATACAGGAAGACAGCAGGGGCTGCCAGCCAAGCCCCCAGCCCCCATGTGTACCTTCTCTCCAGGAAAGATGAGTCGGTTCTTCCCAAGCATGGCTCTGAACTTGTGGACATAGAACGCCTTGAAACAATCCCTGGAACAGATGCAAAGAGAGGCTGCTCTGCACCTGTCCACCAGCCCGAGACCCCATCATGGGTGATACTGTCCCTCTTTGGCAGTGTCCACCCTCAGAGGCAACATCTTCACACAGACACTCTGGCAGAGCCTGGTGAGGGAGCTGGATGGAGGAGCTTTCCTGGTTGTGACTCCCAGGGCTCTACCTAGATCCCATCAAATGTGAGCTGCAGAGTGCTTAGGAAGGAGTTGGCAAAAGAAAGGCTGGATGGAGATTAGAGCTGGGTGAAATCACCAAAGCCTTTTCAAAAACATGTTGATCTGTTTCAGCCCCTACAGACAGAAGCACTGCCTCTCTGGGGTGCAAAGGGGAGCAGGGAGAACTCAGAACCCTCTTTGACAGAACAGTCCTCATTCGCAGCTACCCTAAGTTGTTAAATCAGTACCTACCTTGCCCAGGTTATAATTCCTGGGAACACTACATTTTCTTTCAAATCTGGGCTCCCCAAACATGGTAGGTGAAAAGAAAGACTCTGGAAATCAGTTTCTGCCCCCTCCACCAGAATCTTTTGTAGAAAATCTTTAAAAAAAAAACAGACTCAGATATTCAAAGGGACTTAGAAATGTGAAATCACCATTCACTCAACAAACATACACTATACAAAGCTACTGCTAATACCACTAGGTATTAAAGGAATAACACCAGAGATCCATGTTCCTGCCCTTGGGGAGCTAAAGATCTTGTTAAAACAGTCAAACATTAAAACAGTTGTAATCCAAAAGAGGTGTGAGGGACCCATTAAAGTCACAAATAAAATGTGAGTCCTTCTGCTGTGGTCCCCATGGGAATAATCCCTTGTTCCTGTCCAAAGATCCAGAGAAGACTGGAGCTCTCCTTCCAAATCTCTATGGCAGTCAGATAAACAGGCATCCCGTGAAAGAAGGAACTCCCACCCAGAGCTTCCTGCCCAAGCTCCCAGGATGTTTTGACCTGCCCTGGACGGACTCCAACTGCCCCAAATGCCTGTCTTTCAACACACCTTTCCCTCAAATCTGAGCACTCCATAAGCTTCCCCAGAGATCTTCCTACCACTAGGCCCATCAAGGAAATTTGTGGGGTTCTGTTTGACAGGGTCTCTCTGTAGCCCCAAGCTGGCCTCAAATCTGAGGTAATTCACCTGTCACGGAATCCCAAGAGTTGGAAATACAGGCGTGAGCCTAGTTTAAAGGATGGGGGTCGTTACCAATGGTTCCCACCACTACTCGTGGTCAGGGCCAATGTGACAAGCTCATACAAAGTAACCGTTCCCTTACAAGGAAGAAGCAAGCCTGGAAAGGAGGGCTGCCAAGGTCTCACCTGCAGAAGGCATCTCCCGCTCGTATCACCACCACCGGCTGGCCTTCCGCGCACTTCACACATTTCTGCTCCCGGCTTTGGAGAGAATAAGAACATAGATGGCAAATTCTCCCACCGCAGCGAACTTGGGGAAGCCAGAGTCTCGCTTCCCAGCCTAAGCCAGCAGGAAAAGCGCCTGGCTCACACACCAGGGCCTATGCTTAATTCTAGCTGCCGACTCAAAGAGGCCCTCGGGTCGCTGCGACCCTAAGGGCGCGGGGCCGGTCGGTGGCTACGCGGGCCGAAGAGGGCTGTCCCTGGCCTGTTATGGAAGGCTCTTACCCCGGCCGTGGCCCGGGCGGAGGCTCCCGGTGAGCCAGCCCCGCGTAGTCCTCACCGGCCTGACACATGGAGAGATGCTCGACAGGTCCGCAGTAATGAAGACTCGGCGCGGCGATATGACATTAGCGCTAAGCGGACGCTGTCGTGACGCAACGCGGAGGGGGCGGGGCGAGCGGTGACGTCAGCACGGCGCCGTCGCGGCAGTGACGCCGGCCTCCCGGCCTGGATAG